GGTATTTATTGGTGATGGTAGTTATTGGTGATGGTATTTATTGGTGATGGTATTTATTGGTGATGGTATTTATTGGTGATGGTATTTATTGGTATTATTGGCATTTATTGGTGATGGTAGTTATAGGTGATGGTATTTATTGGTGATGGTATTTATTGGTGATGGTATTTATTGGTGATGGTATTTATTGGTATTATTGGCATTTATAGGTGTGGTTATTCAATGGTTTTAATTGGTGTTGGCGTTGATACTGGTATTGGTCATGATGGGTGTTGGTATTGTTGGTATTTATTGGTGTGGATATTTATTGGTATTTATTGGTGTGCTGTTATTGGTGGTTATTGGAGTTGAAGTTGGTGTTGGTGTTATTGGTGTTATTGGTGTTGATACTGGTGTGGTATTTATTGAGATTGATATTTATTGGTTTGATACTGGCGTTGGTATTGATAGTGGTATTGGTGTTTATTTATTGGTGCATATTGGGACGGGTACTGCGGTGGTGATGGTTAGTGTTGGTATGATTGGTGTTGGTATTATTGGTGTTGGCATTATTGGTGTTGGCATTATTGGTGTTGGCATTATTGGTGTTGGCATTATTGGTGTTGGTGACTATTGGTGCTGGTATCTACTGGCTGGTGTATACTGGTATTTATAAACGTCGGTAGTAGTGCTGTTTATTGGTGTTGGCACTTATTGGTGTTGGTACTGGTGTGGTGTTCATTGGTGTTGACACTGGTGTTGGTATTTATTGGTGGTGGTATTTTTGGTGGTGGTATTATTGGTATTTGTTCGTATTTATTGGTGTTGATACTGTTGCTGATACTGGTACTGGTACTTAGTGATACTGATATTTATTGGTGTATATTAAAAACTGCACTGGGCGGTGGTGCTGGTGTTTATTGATATTGATCCTGGTGTTGATATTGATCCTGGTGTTGGTATTTACTGGTGTTGGTATTTACTGGTGTTGGTATTTATTGGTATCCATTGGTATTTATTGGTGTGGTGTTATTGGTGTTTATTGGAGTTGGTGTTGGTGCTTATTGATGCTGGTGTTATTGGTGTTTATTGGAGTTGGTGTTGGTGCTTATTGATGCTGGTATTATTGGTATTTATTGGTGTTAATATTAGTGGTGTTGATACTGATGCTGGTGAGTAGATATGATAGGTGCTGGTGTATATTGGTGTTTATTGGTGTTGGTATTATTGGTATTTATTGGTGTGGTGTTTATTGGTGCTACTATATATTGGTAGTTTTTGTATTTATTGATTGGTACTTAATCGTGCTGGTCTTGATTGCTGTTGTTATTTATAGGTCTTGGTATTGTTGGTATTTATTGGTGTTGGTATGCTTGGCATTCATTGGTGTTGTGTTTTTTGGTATTGATACTGCTTTTGATGCTGCTGTTGATACTGGGGTCGATACTGGGGTTGATACTGGGGTTGATTCTGGTATTGGTATTGATACTGGCCCTGGTGATTTTCCCCGTGTTGGGTCAAATTAAGCCGCAGGCTCCACTCCTGAAAGTGCCCATCCGTCAATTCCTTCAAGTTTCAGCCTTGCGACCATACTCCTCCCAGAACCCAAAACCTTTGATACCTCGTAAGGTGCTGGGCCTGTCATTTACATGAGGCGTCGCCCCATCCCTAGTCAGCATAGTTTATGGTTAAGACTACGGCGCTATCTGATCATCTTCGATCCCTGACTTTCGTTCTTGATTAATGAAAACGTCCTTGACAAATGCTTTCGCAGTAGCTAGTCTTTGGAAAATCTAAGAATTTCACCTTTTACAACTGAATACCAATAATGGTGTTGAATTGGTAATGGTATTGATATTGGTGTTGGTACTGGTATTGGTATTTATTGGTATTGGTTTTTATTGGTGTTGGTATTTATCGGTATTGATACTTGTATTGGTATTTATTAGTTTTGGTCTTTAGTGTTGGTATTTGTTGGTGTCTATCCTGGTTTAGCTATTCATTAGTGTTGGTATTCAGTGTTGGTATTAATTGATTCGACACTGGTGTTGGTATTGATACTGGCATTGGTATTGATACTGGTATTGGTGTTGATACTGGTATTGGTGTTGATACTGGTATTGGTGTTGATACTGGTATTGTTATGTTTTCGTAATACTGGAACCTGTTGGCGATGACCGGGACATGTTCCCTTGCTTTCTTTCGGCCTCTTGGTTGTCTTTGACTACATAAACTCCAGATCGAAGGGACTAGGACCCCAGAACTATACACCAGTGTAGAGACGGCACAAGTACGCAACAATCTGCTCTACTCTCGACACTCACGGCTACACACGACTGGTTCACCATATTGCTCAAACTCAAGTTGATACATCACAAGGTGAATTATTCGTAACAATAGCCGAGCTAGTATCAGGCTCGGCCCTGGTCTATCATAGGTCGACTTTTTGTTTAAAAAGTCTGATATGTTCTACAAAAACTTACAATGGACGTTCACCCCCAGTGAATGTCATTGTCTCGAAGCTTAGAAAAAGACTATTCCAATTTTTCAACGACCGGTATTATGAACGATGACGGAGCAATAACTCTCTGCGTACACTGACTAGACAGTGTCTGCCAGGCCTCATCCGGGCAGATTATATATACCCATGAGATTAAGTCAATACAAGGTTCGACGTTTCGCTTATTGTCATTTAGCTAATTTCATTTAAGTGATCGACATGGCAGAAGTCTTTCCTCTTTGGGAGTTTTCATGAATTGGTGCTCGCCTTCTCACCTGAGCTTATGTTGCGATCTACTATAGGTTTTCTTTATGGTTTCTCGTTAGTGGTGGGCTTTACATCTCTCCAGTGACACCCTATAATATGATGCTTCTTTAAAAAAAAGATGCATCGAGATGTGGTTATTATTTTTCGCCTATTCTGCCTTTTCCTCTTTTTCTTAGTGACCATGAGTTTGTTAATTTTGCAGAACATACGTATAGCCACATATAGTTCATGATTGACTCTATTCTACGACTGACTCTGGACGTTTGACTCTATTTCATGAAGACGTTATATATGTTTGACTCTATCTTATGATTGACTCTGATTCATGTTTGACTCTGGTTAAACATGACATAATTACGAAAGCTAGACTTAGACGACTAGATTAGACCGTAAGCGGGAATTTAACTCCGTTTTGTGGGGGTGGAATAAGAACCACTGGTCTATACAGACGGCCAGGAAGAAAGAGCAATACGCTATCTATGGATGGTTCTTTTCCGAGTCGACCTTCCCACGACTGTGGTTGTCACGTGACGCTGTACGGGTCCGGCGGCGTATTGGATCAGGGCCGGCCTTTTGGAGTGGTTGGTGATTCTGGTGCACTGTGTGGCTTTTGTAGTAGCCAGTTGTTATATGTGTAGTTGCTTGGTACCCCTGCTATTTTCGTCTGTTACGGCGGCTGCTTGAGTAGATGCTTTTGGTGATGCTTTTGGTGATGCTTTAGGTGATGCTTTAGGTGATGCTTTAGGTGATGCTTTAGGTGATGCTTTAGGTGATGCTCTATCAGGCATTGTTTTATCAGGTGTTTCTTTAACAGGCTACTACTTCACTAACTGATATATTAGTAAACTACTTAATAAGCCTATATTACTAGCTCCTGCCTCACTAGCCTCCTACCTTACCAGCCTCCTACCTTACTAGCCTCCTTCTTCATCAACTGCGGCTTTATCAGCTGCTGCTTCGTTGGGTGTTACTTCACTGGCTGATACTTTAACAGTCTGACCGATGCTTTATTAGTTTGCAAGTTTATTAGTCTGTGACTTTATTAGCTGATGACCGATTGGCAAATACCTAACCGGCCTCGTCTTACTGGCTGTTGCTCTGTAGGTAGTACTTCATTGGATGATGCTTTAATAGTCTAATGCTGAGTGATGCTTCATTAAATTGCAACCTTATTACTCTGCTGGTTTCTTAGGAACAATTTCAGAAGACGTGTATGGTTAGATTGGAGAAAATTCAAAAGAGGAAGAACCCTAAAATGGAGAATAAAGTCTTAATAAAGTAACTGTACCCTTAGGGCTACTGTGGATCTCAACATTTCTCCAAAAGACTCATGTGGACAATGCACATCATGGGTCTTACTTCAATATAGAGCTAAAATCGCAAGGTTGATGGTCTTCTGAAATTATCACGCTTATATTCCAAAGCGTCGATGGACTGGTAATTGGGTCTTGTGCTTCAGAAATCCAGTTGTAATTGAAACTGCGGTCTCTAATCCGAGGCCTTTTGGCAGCAAAGCACTTTATGATTTTCATATCTGAAATCACTCTCATCTGAATCTATAGCTCTATTAGCTATAGTGCCTGCTGTCCCAAAGCTGGTTGAGTCTGGATTGCACCGGGGTATTCATCTCTTCCCGCAGGTTCCTAATTAAATCGCCTGCGTTGCATCAGCCCCACACGACTATGAAGCTACGAAGACCGCAGCAGCGCAAAACAAGAGCACACAACCCCCGACAAAAGTGTTTATGTGTATTCAGTCCAAGGCTGTCGGTCCAAGGCCCTATGTATTTACAGAGCGTGGGCGGCCAGGCCATCAGCGGTCCACGGCGCCACGGCACCACGGCCACAGCGTGCAAATCGGCCCTGTTCCGGCCCAAGCACACATGCCAGCTAGAGCCAAATCTCCCGCAGCGCCCCGCGGCACAGAGCACCCCCTGGTATCTAGTATGTACAAGCGCCTCAGTTGTCCAATGGAGAGGCGTCGTCGTCGCCGCCAAGATCCTTCTCCCGCTGGCCCAAGGTCAAATAAAGCCCCGTTCCAGCCGACTCCAAGGTGCGCACCAAGCCCGCGCCACCCAAAACAGACAACAAGCCGGCCAACTGGCCGCGCAACTCGTCTTTCGAAGGCAACGTCTTGAACTCTTCCACCTGCGCAGCGCTGTAGACGCCGGTCTCGATGCGTGCGCCGATCAAAAAGAGCTTCTCGCCCGCCTGCTTCAACACCTTCATCACCAGCGCCACGCCGGCAGGGTCACACAGCGGGATGGTGATCACGGCGGTGGGCCCGTTGAGCAACTGCTCCAACGGGTGGTTTTTTTTCTTGTTCTTCAAGGTGTTTTTGTGCAAGGCCGGGTCGGCCTCGTTTTCCGAGCGCAAGTATACGCCGTACAAGTTGTTGCGCACATACGTCAACTTGGCGCCCAGCTTCTTGAGGTCCGCCCGCACCTTCAACGTGTCGTTCTTCAACAAGTTGTTGTGGTGGGCATACAACACGATTTCGTTGTTGTCGTTCAAATATTTGTAGTAGTCCACCAAAAACGTCTTCCGTGAGAGCACGTGCTTGGTGGTTTTGCGGGCCAAGTCCACGGGATATGTTTCTATGGGCTGTTCCTGCTGACAGGCCCGGCGCGTGGTGGAGAAATTCTGCGCTGGCGCCATCGAAACGGGGCTTCTGAAAAGTAGAGATGCAAGGCTCCCGCCAAGGGGGAGGCGGTTGGACGCCAAGGTCAACCGTTGGAGGAGCATGTGAGATGATATGTGGGGGACCAAAGAACTGATCCTGTAGAAATGGGTACGATTTTTTTTTTGGGTGCAAGTGAGTATTGGCGCGAGCACGACCACGCTTCACTAGTATGAGAGTAGAGGAAGGGCACGAATTGAAAGCCATCTGCAGCTTTGCTCCTCTGCACACATGTCCGGTTGCTTTCCGGGCTGCCTGTTTTTTGGAGTTTGTGTATGTAGTGACTTTTGGTTTCCTGTTTTTTGGTGATGGCTTTCCTGTTTGGTCTGTCTTTTCCTTCCACTATGTAGCACTGTTAGGCCCTATGAAATACAGCACTGGTCGCGAATGCCGAAGCTGAGATCTAAAGCCCGCGCCAATAAACCTCGCCATCTCGATAAATTGGTACTCAATGGCCAAAACCCCGAATGTGGCATCCGGGATGATATCCAAAAATGCTAGGCTTTTTTTTCGGGGAAACTGAAAAATGATTCGCCCGGAATTTTCCGGCGTTTTACTGGGCATCAATGTTAAGCTCTTACTACAATATCAATAAACCTCGTGCTAACTTTCGGTGTACAGGAGAACAAATCATTGGTCGGATGCTTTTAATAGTAGTGTGCAATAAATAGTCCGTAAATAATTGGTAAACACATAAATGAGTTCATATAGTTTAAGCTCTGAGACTGCGAACGACAATGAATCTTAATACCCTGTGCGATGCCTCGATCTGCCTCTGGAAGAAGTCGGAAGCAGGCCAGAGAATGAACCGTGTTTGAAATAAAAGATCCAGTTGGGTTAATTCTTGTTTAGTGTGCAACTGTGCTCTATATGCTGGTGATGAATGGGTGCAAAATTTTTCGTGTGAGGAAGCCACTACGAGAGAAGCGTGTTCCCAAGAAACACCTAATGATGGCTATTTTCAGTGAGAATGAAAATACTGTGACTACTTCCAAGAGTAAGATGTGTGTGCAAAGCTTCTGTGGTAGGATGGTGAGATGTATGCCACCTGACGTCGTGTCGTACCTGGCAAAAGGGCAAATGTTTGTTTCAAGAGCTTAAAGGAGGCTGGCCTAGTCTTTTGATGATTTTCTGTACAGCAATTTATGTGATGGTTTGTTCCATTGCTCAGTCATGGCTAGGAAGCTTAATGCTCACTCAGACTCTGGGACTACAATTAGATTCAATCTACCTGTAATTGAGAATAATGCTCAAGCCTTTGTGCGATTCCTTGCAGCCAAATTTCATGATGCTTTCAAGCTGACAATCCAAGAACATAGGCGTTCTTGGGTTGTGCTGTACTCTTTTCCCTACTAACGCTCATTAAAGATATATTGTGCTAACTTCGGCTTACACTTTCATACAAGCCAGGAAAGATGAAAGGATTCAAAGACAATTTTCATACATGTTCAGAAGCATATTTCAGAATCTTTGCCATTCGGAACGTACCTTGGCCTTTTTTGTGTTTATTCTTTTTGATGGTTTTAGTTAATGGTGATTGGACTCAAGACATCGCGCAAAACAGACATCATTGGTTCTTCAAAGCAGACCTTTCTTAAAAACACCTTTTCCAAGATTATCGCGTTGCAGCATGCCAAAAACAAAACTTTGCATAGTTCCACCTATTCTGCTTATGGCGAAGCAAGTATGTGTCCGCTTCACCCTGTCAAGTCTCAAGTCGAAACACCGCTTTAGGTATTATCAGGTTAGTGTAAGCCACAGAAGCCAGGCCCTGAAAACAGGTTTTTTGATCTTTTTTAGACTCACTTATTCATTGCTTTTGATACTCAGCAAATCTTCGACATACATCACTAAAGTAGATTTGCTTGTTGGCTACGTTTTGTCTGACGACTGGTCGAATGATATAAGAAACTACAAGATATTGTGTACGAGATTTAGAGTATAGTTGAGAGCGTTGAGAAATATCAGAAAGGAATGATATGTCCCACGTTTCTTTTCGCCCTTCACGACTCTTGTCAATTCTAAGATCAAAGAGGTGCAAGGAGTTGAAACGCGACAAAAGCTACCCTGTTTTCCAATCTTTTGAAGATGTTTATTCATGAATCTACTGTTATTTTTTGTTGTTTTTCTTTTTTCTGTTGAGAATCTAGAGGTCTGGTGCGATAAGCTGTTTTCTTCTGTCATATTCGATAGGCCAAGAAACCTTTTGACTTAATATAAGTGTTTTACTCAGATGATAACCCGTGTCGAATTAGCACCCAATCAACGGGCCTGAACTGATACACAGCGACCTTGCCCGCTGGATTTGGGCCGACAAGTTTCGGGGTATATTTGCCGATTTCTCATCAAGTTCAGCCAAACTGGAATTGAGACATGATTCCCGCGTCTCCTCACTAGCTTGAGCTCCCTCAATCCAGCCTGAATTAGAGGTGAATGAGACGCGGTTGCTTCAAGAGCTTCTGGAAGGATTTGCGCTTGTCCCTGTGCATTTGTATTTTGGCTGGTCTTTGGAGACGAAATCCCTTTCAGCAAGCGAAATGGTCTCAAAATAGGCTCACTTTGGTCCAATTTTGGTGGCGCCGATGGTTCTTGAGAGCAAGAAGACAACATTCCTAAAGTTTTCAATTCTTGTACTCTTGCAAGATACTTTTCGTGCTCTTTGCCAACTTCGCTAATTGTAGGGCGAATTGCGGCTGCAACTTTGGAGGGCACTTCTTTCTCTGTTTTTTTCAAGTAGGCCCCTTTTTTCTGCTCTTCAGAAGAAGAGTCGGGCCCGGTGTTGAGTATTGCGAGATGTGCCTCGTCGCCGAGATAAACAACTCTGATGCCTTTGAACTTCTCCATTATGGATTCGTCCTCAGCCGTGCTTGCGGAATATCCTGGATATCTCAATTCAAAATCACTTTCAACACTATCACCGCTGGAACACATCTTGGAAGATGGATATGGCATGCGTTTTGAGTACGTGATATGCTTACTGCGCAAGGCTTTTGAAGCGCCGGTGTCATCGGCTCCCAGGTGAGGGGCAGAAAGACAGTTAAGGTCAATTTCAGGGATGTAGCCTAGTTGCCAATTCAAGTCGTACTTCTCGTCAAAGACAATTTGGCGTCTGTGTTCCAGCCTGGATAACCCCGAAATGAAACCCAAAACACCATGCTTGAGCATACCAGAGAGTCTTTTCCGTGAGCCATGTTTCCCTGGATATTTGAGAGCTGCTTTTGGGCTTTCTTCACATTGGCCCTGGATGCCGATCTTATTGCTCAACAAAGTCTCTTCCCTGATTTTGTTCTTAAGTCCTTCTGAAATTCTTCTGTCTGAGGCGGTAGTAGTATTAGTGTTTCTCTTTTGCTCTTCTTTCCACTCAACACAGGTACCTCCTTTTGAGTGAGAAATTTGCTTGTTGTTACGCAAAAAAGAATTCTTCTTAGCGCAAATGCTTATTTTTCTTAATCCCATGATTGGTTCTGAAACTATTAATGTAGTTGGAAAGACATGAGGAATTGGGGAAAAAATCGTCTTTTTATAACCAAGCAAGTTTGTTAAATGACAGACCTAAAAACTTATACTCTCGGGAGCTAGCAGATAATACTATTCGTAAATACAGCAGTGTCCAAAAATGTTTTGAGACATTCGTAAATTTGTTCCACCCGACAACATATCTCCTCGCAACGGTAATGTCTGTCAAGCTTCTGAAAACCATAATTTTTTTAATAAAATGAATCGTATTTCAGCTAAATATTTCTAAATTAATCAATTTTCTTTATGAGCCCCGGCTTACAGGGTATTTATAAACTTTTATCACGGAATTCTTCGCACCTCTTTGAGTATGCCCGATCTCTTTTTGGTATGCTCGATCTCTTCTTGGTATGCTCGATCTCTTTTTAGTATGCTTAATCTCTATTATAGCATACTCGATCTTTTTTAGCATGTTCGATCTCTTTTTAGTATGCTCAATCTTTCTTTGGCATGCCATTTTGTGGTCAGCATATCTGAAAACCTATAAATTTCACAATGGTTTTCAGCTAGCAGAATGCTTCGAAATAAAATTTCAAAAACTATAAAAAGTTCAAACAGAAAAAAAAATTGTCTCCAAGGTATCCTAATTTTTGTGTCAATTTAGGGTTTTTGTTTGCGCTCAAATTTACACCTTGCTCCAGGAATGTAGGCCCCACATGAACTTTTTAATACATGCTCACATACGCATTATGAAATTTAATGAAGTCTACCAAAGCAGATCAATCGTTATTCTTCTATTGTTGCTCGAACGCAAAGGTTGAAATGCCCAGAATTTTACATCCCTATTGAAACAAAAGCGTCTTCTGATACCAGAGGTTGATTGTGTCTAATAAGCGTTTGGGAACTATAGACACAGTTGAATATTGCACGGCGTACTTCAGGTGAGGCATTCCCAAACATAGAATTCCCTGATGATCGGGATTTTGTGCGATGAGAGTACCTTCTCGTCTGCCCTATAAGCTAAGTCTGCGAGAAATCCATTTATGTGGCCGACTGTAACACTGCTCATTTGGTTTTGTATGATCAACTTGGAGGACAAAATTTCCACAATTTCTTTCAATGGTATTACAAGGGTCTGCTCTAGCAATCTGGTAATATGTTTTCACCAGCCGGGTACAACGTAGTTTGCATCATAGACAGACTTGAGGATGTGTCTTTGCAATGTTTTCAATTTAAATTTATAGGTATTCCAGATTTGATGGAGTATTGTGGTGAGAATTCCACATGTGCTACAAACCAGAATGAGTTGATAGTCTAACAAACGAGTTTAGTAAGCAAACAGCGCCCCTTTTCAATTCTCGAGCCAATTTAGGATTTACATTTTTATTTATATCTAGAAATACCACAAAACGTTATCGTGTCGCGTCCATCGGAGCAGTAAGCTTCCATGCTCCATTTTTAACGTAATTGATGGTTCAAGCTGGACGAAGGAAACGATAGACGCGACAATTCTCGACCTCGAAATAGCGGTAGTTTCATCCAGTCACCAAAGAGCGCTCTGTTTGTGTATTTAGATGTAGCAGATTTATGCAGAGACCTGGCTAAATGGTCGCGAGAAGAGACTTTTTGTGCACGACAATACGACAAAGTTGTGCTCTAGGTAAAGCTGTATTTTCTGTGCGTAGTATACATCTGGAAAAATGTTGAAAGACAGGTGATCGCTGGGTCTATTTTTGAACTCGACATAGTTAAACAAAACTGCTCAAATTATTGTTGACTCTAATTCTTTGATGCAGAGCCGGGATGATAACGGCCAAGGGATCTCTTGGATTCAGATCCGAATCAATACGGAAACACAATCTTCAATCATTAACCTTTTTGTTTATTCCGGTCTGATCTTGATTAATCAATGACCTATCTATGTGGGATTCCAGCTTCAGCTTCAGGTTTACTAAAGACCCTTTATTTGGCAATGCGGGTTCTGGTTAATCAAAATTTCTCTTCATCATTGCTCTTGTTTACTCAGTAACCTTATTATGTAGAACTGAGCGCTTTTTGTCACCAATTACCGTTATCATTTATTGCTGTTCTTGGTCGAAGCCGTCTTTTGTTTATATTTCCCGCAATGGCCGCTAATATAAAGTATGGCCTTCTCTTGGCTAACTACGAACTGTTTCTATGTAGCATTGCCAGTTCTAAATTAATCAGAATAAATCGTTACTGCCACAGCTCGTACTAAACCATCGCAGTATAAAACCGTAGCTTTAGTTTGATGGCAATTCACAGAACCCGTAAATACATAAACTCTTCTAACGAAAAGACGATAAAGCCGAAAGTTCGCACCTCTACGCGGAAGTATCGCGGATTTGCTTTATAGAAAATTCGAGAATCGCAGCAAAGCGAGAAGCGCACAGAAAAAGACCCCGTCAAGAGTTTTAGTTCGGGGCCTGCGGTCTAATTCAGAAACCCTTTTAGGCTGAAGATGATCGTCAATATTCTAGATTATAAGTGACACGAAAACACGGAAAAAGTTCTTTAACATTCGAGACGGCTTTTGAAATCTCAACAAGTCTCCCGCTAGCGGCGCAGATAAGGCCCGAGTCTACCTAATGTGGTCAATATCACGCCATCTATTTAATGTTGTAGTGCTGGTAGGTCTATATAATGGCCGTGAGTAAATGAAGTAAAGTAAATCATTGAAATTTATTTAGTTATTCATTTAAATATTTATTATTCAGGTGTTCATTAAGGTAATTAAACAAGCAAGGACGTACACAACAAGAAAGTACAGACATTAGTCAGTTATCTCAAGCTCATTTTGAGAAGTAACATGATATGAAATTTCAAATGAGACACTAAGAAATAAAGTTACCGGGTACCTTTCTAATACGAGAGAAGACATCCTGGGTTTAAAATAAGATCTGGAAGACGAAACTCGAAAATGTACCCAGAGAAAGACGAAACTCAGATTGAAATTTTTTAACATTGCCATCTCTCAATTAATCAAAACGCGGCTCTTATAGAAAAGATGGTCATTTTTAGCATTTTCAGCTCATGACCAATCAAAATTGTTTCTATTTATTATTGCCGGCCCTTGATTATTCAAGACCATTCTTTATTGCTGCCGGCTTTTGGCTAGCTAATTACCAACATCATCTATCATTGCCGGTTTTTCTAAAACCCTTCTCTATTATCATCGTTTCTGCTCCATCAATGGCTGTTAGCATTGTCGGTGCTTATAAACCCTTCTTTGGCATTACGGTTCCGTTCTATTTAGCATTGCCGGCTCCTACATGACCAAACCCGTTTATACTTACTATTTCCGCTTACACTTATTTAGGGACGTTTTCTTTCATTTACCTGCTCTTCGTTGATTAAGCCACCCTTTATATATCAATGCAGGGTTCAATAAATCCCTTCTTATTCATCAGAGTTCTTACTTAATGAAAGGCCGTTCTATTCAATAGTCCCGGATTCTATAAAGCCCTTCTCGATCATCACAGACCCTGCTCAATCAAGGCCGTTCTATATATCAGTGCCGAGTTTATTAAACCTTCTTTATCATCACAGTTCCTTATAAAATACTGGCCGTTCTTTTTACCAGTGCCGGTTTTTAAGCCCTTTTTATCATCACGGTCCCTAATTAAGTAATGGCAGTTATATCTTGTCAGTTCCCACTTGAAAAAATCCCGTTTTTCTTGTTATTCACAGCTAACTCAATCAAGAGCCGTCTTTTTCTTTGTGCCGGCTTTTGCCGGATATTATTTAACGCTGCCAGTGCTTATAAAACCCTTCTTTATCATCACAGTTCCTACTTCAATAATGGACGTTCTATGTATCATTGCCAGTCTTCATAAACCCTTTCCATCATCACAGTTTCTATTTAGATATTCCCACTCTATGTATCTTTTCCAGTTCTCATAAGCCCTCTCCATCATCACCGTTCCTATTTAAATATTCCCGTTCCATCTAGTTCCTACTCCACAAACAGCTGATCTTACTCTTCCCGATCTCAATTAAAACCCGCTTTTTATTTATGCCGGCTTTTGCCGTAATTATGGTTACGGCTCACACTCAATTAATGGCCGATCGTTTTCATTGTTGCCTGCCCTTCGTTAATAAAACCACTTTTTATTTATCAGTGCCGGTTTTTGTAAACCCTTCATCACAGTTTCTGTTTAATTAATGGCCGTTCTATATATCAGTGCCGAATCTCATAAACCCTCTCCATCATCACCGTTCCTATTTAAATATTCCCGTTCCATCTAGTTCCTACCCCACAAAAAGCTGATCTTACTCTGTCCAATCTCATTCAATGAAACCCCGCCTTTTCTTGCCGCCTGCTGCACCAAACCGATACTCCCCCTGCCAACCACCCTCCCCAGGTCTCACCTCACATCTCCAGTTGCGCGCACATACGGCAGGTTCCCGCAGAACTGGGAACCAGCGACCCCCGTCAAAAATCAGCGCCAGCCCCGATCCAAAAAAAAAAAACAACAAGAGCCACAGATCCAGGGCCCGCCACCAGGAACCCCGCCCCAGAAATACCAGGCAGGGCGCAGGGCGGCAGACCCTCCCACCACTTGGTGCAGCCGTAGCCAGGCCGTAGCCAGGCCGCAGCCAGGCCGCACCGGGGCCGCACCCTGCCCTGTATTAATCACTGGCAGCGCAGGCAAGGCACAATGCTAGTCTGTGCAACCACAGAACGCCGCCGCAAAACCCCCGTTTTTTTTTGCCCATTCCCAAGATCCCACGCCCACGCCGCCGCCCCGCCAATGCCGCCGCTCCCCGCCGCCCCGGGCGCCCGGCACCTCGCCGCCAGCCGACATTTTGCAGCCGGCCGGCACACCCGTACCCCCCGCCCCGCGGCGCCGGCCCGTGGCCCCAAGCGCGATGAACGGCCCCGTCTAGGACCCAGTCTTCTTCTCACCAAGCGCCACACCCCCACCAGGCCCCTCGCGCAGACACCCATGGCCAACGACGGACTCGGCGACTTCATCTCCCAGTTGAAACGCGCGGCGCACGACCCGCACGTGGACGCCCGCCCCTCAGACACCAAGCGCAAGGCGCCCTCGGCCAGCTTGCTGGACTCGGCCCGCATGGGCAACGTGGCCGGCTTCGGCTACACGGAAATCAACAAGCTCGAGCACTGCGCGCGGCTGCTCCAGAAAAACATCCGCACGATCGTGTCCGAGGCGCCCACTCTGGCGCAGCTTGCCGCCTACGAGAGCGCTGCGGCCGTGGACCGGTTCACGCAGCAGGAGGCCCGCGACAACCGGCTCGTGCGGCTCGTGGCCAAGCTCAAGACGTTGCACGCGGCGGGCCAGTTGGCCGTGTTCGACCGCATTTTGTGCGACGACGTGCGCGTGGACACGCCGGCGGCAGCCGCGGGCACACCGGCTCCACGCGCCCCGCAGGCGCCCGAAAAGCCGCCGCCGGACGACGCGGAGCCCGCGGTGGAGGGCTTGCCGGCGCTCCCGGCGATCCGCGGGCCGGCGTTGCGCCTGCGCGTGTTCCAGCACAAGTCCACGTGCGCCAACAAGACGTACCTCAACGAGCAGGAGATCGTGGCCAGCCACAACGAGCGCTTGGAGTTCTTGGGCGACTCGGTGCTCAACACCCTCGTGACGTACATCCTCTACGAGCGGTTCCCCGCGGCCAACGAGGGCCAGCTCTCGCAGATCCGCTCGCAGCTCGTCAGCAACAAGGTGCTCGGCGAGTTTGCCGTGGCCTACGGCTTCGACAAGAAGTTGCGCTGCAACATCGACGAGGACGCGTTGAAGACGGGGCGCCAGAAGGTGTTTGCCGACGTCTTCGAGGCCTACGTCGGGGGGCTTGCCACGGAGAGAACGTACGACCTCCAGGAGGTGCAGCGGTGGCTCGCGTTGCTCTACGCGCACAAGATCGCCGTGGCCCTGAGGGAAATGAACAGCATCTGCGCGGTCGACAAGGAGGCCAAGACCGAGCTCTACTCCATGATCGGCACCGCGTCCCTGCACCCGGTGTACAAGGTCATCACCAACGGCAACGGCGTCAGCACGCCGTTCAAGGTGCACTGCCTCATGGAGGGCGAGTTCATGGGCGCGGGCGAGGCCCCGAGCCTCAAGGAGGCCGGTCTACGCGCCGCCATGTCCGCGCTCTCCAACAAACGCTTGGTGGAGAAATACGGCCGCAAGCGTCTTCAGACCGACCGCTCCATCTCCGAGGTCAAGCAGGACAAGGCCGCGCCCGGCGGCGCCGGCAAGCCCGCCCCCGTGTTTCCCTTGGTGGCGGGCAAGGCCGTGTTCCCCAACAAGTTTGCCAAAAACGAGGTCTACGCCTATTTCGGCAAGAACCTCGGGCTTGCGCCCGAGTACATCGTCACTTACGAGGAGCAAGAGAAGCGGTACAAGGCGGAGTTGAAGGTCAACCAGGCGGTGTTGTCCGTGGCGTACGATACCGTGAGGCGAAACGCAATCACTCGCGCTGCCACGGTGCTTTTGGAAAACAAGCACTTGCTCCATGACATCGTGAGCTTGGTCAACTGAGCATCCGTGCCTCGGGCCCAGGCTCCCTCATGTCACTAATTCGCTTCCAGTCAGTGTTCCTACGCGGTCCACTGACGGGGCTACTTCGAGAAACCTGTTTCTGGGCGCTCACGGTGCGACTGGCGGCTCGATCGACGGGCAACCTGTCAGTTGGTCATTGCTATGTCATAACCTCGCTGGTTTTTTTCTTTTTTTTTGGGTGTCCATGCAAGCAGATGTTTGCATGGCTTGTAATTGATTCGGGCTGGTAGTGGAATCACGAACAAAGCTCAGACTTCAAGGGTCTATCGAACAGCCTGAGTCAGCATCTTTTTCTTATATCTCATACTTCGCCGCCCGCCGAGTCTGCCCGGTGATCTATTCCATCAACATACTAGCATCATGCCTCGAATGAGGCAAAATCCGTGAGAATCGTGTATTTTTAGCTATTCTTACGAGGAGAGAGAAGAAGAAGAAACATCGGCATCAAAGCGCATTTCCCAAACTCATCTTGGCCCTTCAGTAGACCCAACAATATCCAGTTCTCAAGCCGGTATGCTTTGGCAAATACTGTGTCCGTATTGAATCATGCGCCAGAAACGGTTTTGGCACATCTTCTTCTATACATCATTTTTGACTATGTCCTTTCATCACAGGTATTGAGAGAGCCATGGTTTAACTGTGGTACAGCCCTCAAACTGGCTTTTTCAACTAAGGTGGATATCTATTCCGTAAAAAGCTTGCTTTATATTAGCTTTGACGCAAAAATGAAGAAAGAAAGATGAGCCGGAGCTTTGGGTTCATGCGAACAGGGGTTTTTCAAGTAAAGCCTTCTGTTCCTTCGATTCCACGAGATAAATGCTTCTTGAATTGATTGAGAAAACATGCATTCTCTTCATTCTTGCAATCAAGAGCTCGCCAGAGCCGTTGACAACAGTTTGCTTCAGTTCCAAACCGTCCCTGTGATTCCACACAATACATGTATATTAAGATTGGCTGAATCAAACTAACCAGAATTCTAAGGCAACATCCAGCTGCACTAGAGTTTCTTTGGGATATTTGAGGCAAAATAGTCGATCTTGTCTAGGCTGGACTATTCATGGCAATATAACCGTACGAAAAGACTGCAAAGGGCTGTTTGGAGAAATCAGTCTTGGAAAGAAAAATATTGCAATTTGTTCTGATCCATGACAAGCCTATTGCGAGTAGCCACGCCACGAAGTCAACATGTCCTCCTCACCTAATGTATTCATCAGAAGCAATCGTCATTTATGTGAAAATGTCGGATGTGGTTTCAGAAGAAATCAAAAGAGCTAATTTCATCTCTTTCAAGAGAAGTTTTGCCAGCACATAAAGAAACGTAGGAATTTACACCACAGTATGATACTTTGCTTGGAAAGTCAGACAAGAAATCACACTGAAAACTCAGTATTGGTTTGTTCAAAGCTTTCGGTCAGCTTCTAATATTGAGTTTAGTGTGTGTGGGAGGGGCTTATGTTTCCTTTGAGTATCTCTTTCTCTGTTCACTAATTGAACAATACAGCTTGATAGAATAAGTTTCATGTAGTCGCTTTATTAAAGGGAGTAGAGACTTCTCTTTGCAATATCACTTATCCTTGGTCTTCTGACTATAACATCGTGACGAACTAAATAATCAAAGCACTGATTATTATGGGATGTTTCTTGAAAAACTTCAAAAAAGGTCTATTGGTGTCAAAATTCCACTCAATCTCATACTTTTGGTAGATGAGGCTCTTAATGTCGGAATTTGACGTTTTGAATGTGTTGTGGAGATGGTAAACAAAGATATTTGTGACTTTTCCGTTGTCAGAGTCTTCTCGTAATAGGACTCATCTAGAGACATGTTTTTGTTTTTCAAAGAAGCATATGTATTGGAAGATACCGCTGCCCACTTCGACGAAAGTCACATATTATAGGGTGTCATTAGAGGGCTGTAAAGCCCCACCACTATCGAAAAACTCCTATGATAGATTGCAACATTGGCTCAGGTGAGAAGGCGAGCACCAATTCACGAAAACTCCCAAAGAGGAAATACTTCTGCCCATAATTAATGTCAACCACTTGAATAAATTCAGCTAAATGTCATCTTCCCATAGTATATTTTTCTAACGGCCCGTGACCATAGTTCATTTGACAAGGTGGAAAGACGTACATTTGTCTTTGCCTCCTGGTCCCTGAGCAAATAAACCCTGCGGACGACTTTAACAAACCAATAAAGGTTTCTTGGATTCTCAAAGGATTTATCTAAAGGAAATATGATCTACCTTGAGTGCATGGGGGCTTGAAAGCCGATGTTTTGCCACCAGAAGCGCGCAATCTCACACTAAGGGAAGAGGTGGGTTAGCTTCTGATCGCTATAGCACCGCCTGAACTAACTTTACTAAGTAAATAAGAGGTCTGTTTTATTCATGTCTTCTAACATTAGCTAAAAATAGTATAGAGCATAACATAAAAATTATGGTCTGAAAACCTTGAATTATGGTTACAGAGTTGTTTTCTATCTTCTATTTTGAAATGATATAATACGACCGGCTTTTTTATTAAACTTATGTGACAATTGACGATAACGTTGAAGTATAAGCAAGCGAAGCATTAGCGGCCAATTAAAATACAGTAGTAAACCCACTATTAGGGTAAGAGTATATACACAACCTGAATTTGAATCCTGACTCCCTAACTTCGTTATCTTGAATGGGGCACATGAGCCGTGATTGAATAGATGGATGGCGGTGAGATCCTTTCACACCAACCATTTTTTTTGTAGATCATCTGATTGAAGGAGCAAAATATATGAATCTTATATATAAAAAACCTTTAAGCCATTATCGTTTGTATGATTGTTTCCAAATCCAGCGTTTCATCGCCCTCACTTGGCTCGAGGCTGGGCCGGGCAACGAAAAACTATAAAAAGTCAAAAAACCACTCTTCAACAGCTCCTTAACACGTACCTCCTGGCAGTGACCACTCAGATGTCCAAAATAGTCACAAATTCATCGAAAAGCTGGTTTGAAGCTGGCAGTGAACAATCGTGAAGAAAGAATCTAACGGTTTGAAGAGTACTGATAAAAGTGTTTATTTTATATAATGTTGCATCTTCTTCCAGTCCCTCATAAAGGCAACTTGTCCGAGCGGTTAAGGAGAAAGATTAGAAATCTTTTGGGCTTTGCCCGCGCAGGTTCGAATCCTGCAGTTGTCGTTCTTTTTTGCCCCATATAGCTTTATTTTAGCAGAGCAAGACCCACGAGATCATGGCCACGGCTCTGTGTTTAGCGGCAGGCCAAGCAAAGGCGTGTTTCCGCTTGTTATCGTCCTGCCCGAGGCCGTCGCTGCGATGCGCAGAGACACGAAAAAAGGCATCGGGTCCTGCATACAGCACAGACCCATCTCAGAGCTCTTCTGTACTAAAATTCTGTTCGCCTAGCACACCCTCTTCAGCCCCCGACCCACGACATTCCAGACATGCAAGTGGCCAAATTAGCAGTCCACCAGGACGACGCCGACATCTTGCTCAAGGAGAGAAACAAGCTCGACCTGCTGGTCGTGGACAAGTACAGAACCGCAGGCAGAATCTCGCAGACCACGCTCAAACATGTCATCCAGCTCATCAACGACTCGTACCACCTCCACAAAACCGAACGGCCGTACACGGCCGAAGAGCTCTGCATATTGGGCGACTCCATGATGTACAAGTTGCTCGGCAACTGCTACACCAACGCCGAGAAGGTGCGGGAGAAGGGCATTTCCCACCCGGTGACCATCGACGTCAACGAATACGTGGCCAACGTGGCGCCCGAAATGGGCCAGAAGGCCGCGCCGCTCATATTCCAGGCCGGCGACATCGTCACCATCAGCCTCGGCGCGCAGGTCGACGGGTACACGGCCATGGTGTCGCACACACTTGTCATCTACCCTCCGGGCGTGATGATCGACAACGAGTTGAGGCCACAGGGCCCGCTCCTTGGCAGCAAGGCGGACGCCGTGGTGGCATGCAACGTGGCCACCAAGGCCGTGGTGGCGCTCTTGGGCCTTGCCTTGCACCCGGAGAAAATCGCCTGGGTGCCTGAGTTGCAAGGTGCTGGCAGCGTCGTGTCCGGCGCCACCATCAGACGGGTGGTGGACCGCGTGGCCTCGTCCTTTGGGTGCGTGGTGGTACCTGGGTCGAAGGTGCGCCGCGTGCGCCGGTTCTTGGCCGGCCAGGCCGAGGGAGTGGTGGCCGAACGAGACTTTAAGGGTGTTGTGTGGGACGAGAGCAACCAGGAGGAAGAGCTCCTCAAAAAGGCCGCGGGGTCCGAGTTGATTGTGCACGACCACAAGGCGTCTGCGGCCACGAACGTGTCCAGCGCCATCCCCACGGACGACTTTGTCGTGGAGGCCGGCGAGGCGTACACGGTGGACTTGCGGTTCTGCGGCATGGGCGAGTTCCAGGAGAAGGGCCTCGTCACCTTACAGGACGTGGACGACGCACGTGCCACCCTCTACATCCGGGACTTTGCCGTGACGCACGCGTTGAAGTTGAACAGCGCCAAGCAGTTGCTTGCCATGGTGGACAGAGACTTCTCCGTGTACCCGTTCAAGTTGTCGCACACGTGCGACTCGTTCCCCGTGGACTACGAGCAGGGCGACATTGTCGGGCAGCTTGGCGCCATCAAGAAGGAGATTGTCCGCCGCAAGCTCGGCTTGAACGAGTTGGCCAACCGGCACTTGACGCGCCCCAAGCCGGTGCAGATGGTCAAGCACGTGCCCTTCAGCAAGATCTTGGTGTCGTCCAACCCCACGGGCAGACACGGCATTGACAGCTCCAAGTTGACGTTGCCGGGCAAGGAGGTGCCGCTCCCGGCGTTGGGCATCAGTGCGTTGAAGTTGAAGTCGCTCTTGAAGTTCGGCTCGCCGGCCGCCGCGGTGGCCAGAGAGGCCACCACCGTTTTGTTGAACGACGCCGCGAAGGAGGTGGTCCAGTTGACCGGCGGCGACCACTCTGCGCGGCCCTCGTGGGTGCACTCGCAGTTCGTGGTTGCCAGCGACGTGGCCGGCTTGATGTCGTCTTTGAACGGCTTGGGCTTGGTGGTCAAGGAGGTGCAGCCGCTGAAGTTGAACTCTGCCATCTTGCACTTGGAGGAGACCATGCAGCTTGACTAGGTCTTGCGGAGAGTGTGTGGGAGAGGTTGAATGGGAGGGAAGAGACGGGGCAAATGGCATGATCTGAGCCCCGTGAGCTGAGACCCGTGAGCTGAGACCTGTGAGCCGAGACCAATCTTGTGGGTCTGTGAGCTGAGCCCTGTTTTCGAAGATGACACCAATCGCATCGAAGAGCCAATATATGCCAGTTGAAGAACTCGGAGCATACACCCACGACCCGTAGACCTGTGATGTGATAACCACTCCCAAACCCAATCCCCGTTGTTGCGGCATGGTGAATTGATTCCGTAATCCTCCGAGCTCCAGCCTTGGATCTGCCCTCCCCCAGTATCCCCCAAAGCCTTCATATACGTGTGGTGCCGGGTGCAACCTGTAATTTGAGACCTACAATTACCGCTTGGAGATCCCCAAATATACCTGCCCGTGACTTCCCGTCAGTTCCCGTCAAGTCCCCGTGTCTCAGCTCTGTAGCCACGATCATTTTCCGGCAGATGTTTTACACCTCTGTTGAGCTTTCTCAAATTTCCGACCAGCCTGTTCGCATCGAAAACTCTCATTTATCAAGCTGCTACTTTTGGAATTGTCGCCGCTTGAACAAGCCAGGTCGGGGCCTGGAGGGTCGATGTCTCCAAAATACCAAATTGCAATTTCGCTGCCCACGGCAGAGAACAACAGAGTGGTTTCAAACCCCCAATCTGGACCTTCCTCTGTATCACCCATCCCACCGTCTCGGCGCTCCCACCTAAAGACCCCACCCAGAAATCAACTCAAAAAAATGCTTCCAACTACTCTCTGCATTCCGCTAAAATAGAGTTCGTAATTGTCTCGCTCATATTATGGGGCCATGCAAGACGCCGCATACGCGAAATGGCGGATTCGGAGCCTGCCAGCCCGATATCCGCAATATGCGTCTATTCAAATATTGCAATGCAGAAAAGTACCGTGTCAAAGAAACGCCGGGGGAAGGCGGCAAGACAATCCCCCCTTTGTTGAGTTTTTGCATCGCACTAAAATTGGCGTGAAGACGTCATCGCATGACACCTGTCATTTCATGCTGCTCGTGTTTCCGCCTCAAATCGGATCATAAACCTCGGTCCATTCTCACGTATGCTTTCTTCATCCAGACATTCAGTGCCATGCGTCACACCACTGAATGAACACCCAAAGCGGAGCATACGCTCAGCCCCAAAGAAAACCAATCATCGCCATGAAACCGAAAATTGCAGTATTTGCTTTTTGAAGGGCCATTGTTACCCACCGGGCCGCCCTGTCACGTGACGCGGGCGGGTCAAAAAGAGGGGAAGAAGACTTCCAGGTGTCCTCAAGGCCAGGTGGCGCGCAAGCCCGAAATCATACCACGCGGCTGTTCGAAAGCCCTGTTTTTCGTTTTTAATTGCCTCCCGATTTAAACATGAAATGCCCCACAGTGAAGAGTGCCTCGTGCCCCCACTTACCTTGGAGGCTGTGTCTGCTGAATGTCCATGCTCACGCGTGGGGCGCGCCTACGCTTGCAACAAATTATCCAAACAGAAATGTCGCCACTCAAAAACTAATGTCGCGGGTGGCTCCCCACTAGGCGGGCGCATCCTGCACACACAGCCCGGCGAGCCCCCTTCACTCAACTGCCTCCCTTACAATCGTAGCATCCTCCTTCTCTTTTTCCGTCTTGGTATCTGAAAACGAACCTTTACACCTTACCAACAAACCAAGTATGTACCAATTGCCCCCTCCAATGGGAACTGGCCGAATGCCGAGTGTTGCAACGGTTGATTCATGGCTGGCGTCTTCTCTTATTTTTTTTATTCTGTCGACAGGCGCTTGTTTCCCAAATCTCCCAATTAGACGCCACACCCCAAGGTAAACAACAGACGCAAGTCACAAAGCTGGCGGCTAAAGAGTTGGCGACAGAAAGGACAAATCACATGCTGGCCAAGAATTTGTATTGCGGGCTCAACGTCCTCATTCGAACCAAGTCTGGGCGGCGCCGTTTTGTCCTACTTGGCCCCCGAACACTAGGCGTGCTCGTGAGCAATCGCAATCTTGGCGCGCCGGCCGCACGCCTCTGGGTTTGCCACTTCCGCGTCGTTGTCCATACTATGCAGTCCCACTTGATAATCACATATATGCCAATCGCTGAAGGCTCGCCAGCAGACGGAATGAAGTGAATCTGGGTTTCTGCAATCCGCGTTTTCCAACAGCCTTTGTTCTCGAATTGTGATTCTGCGGGTGGACCGCGTTTCGATTGCAAAGCCAACAGCCCGCAACACCCGTACACCGCGACACCCGCGCATTTTGGACACGACCTACTCCGTGGATTGTCGACTTTTTTTCTTGCTTCTTTGACGCTCACCTGATCAATTGCAACAATTCCCGCGTGATCCCAACTCGGACCTGTTCTCTTATCACCCTGCCCCTTTTGCGATACTAACTCCCCAAAGAAATGCCTGCCTCCCGTGAAGACTCCGTCTACCTTGCCAAATTGGCCGAACAAGCCGAGCGCTATGAGGAAATGGTCGAGAACATGAAAGCCGTTGCCTCGTCTGGACAAGAATTGTCCGTCGAGGAGCGTAACTTGTTGTCGGTAGCCTACAAGAACGTCATCGGTGCCCGCCGTGCCTCTTGGAGAATTGTTTCTTCCATCGAGCAAAAAGAGGAAGTCAAGGGAAACGAACAACAAGTTTCCTTGATTAGAGAGTACCGCGCCAAGATTGAGGCTGAATTGACCAAGATCTGTGAAGACATCTTGTCTGTCTTGACCGACCACTTGATCACCTCCGCCCAGACCGGTGAATCCAAGGTCTTCTACTACAAGATGAAGGGTGACTACCACCGTTACTTGGCCGAGTTTGCCATCTCCGAGAAAAGAAAGGACGCAGCTGACTTGTCTTTGGAGGCATACAAGTCTGCTTCCGATGTCGCTGTCACTGAGTTGCCACCAACCCACCCAATTAGATTGGGTTTGGCCTTGAACTTCTCTGTTTTCTACTACGAAATCTTGAACTCCCCAGACAGAGCCTGCCACTTGGCCAAGCAAGCCTTCGACGACGCTGTTGCCGACTTGGAAACCTTGTCCGAGGATTCTTACAAGGACTCCACATTGATTATGCAATTGTTGAGGGATAACTTGACTTTGTGGACCGACTTGTCGGAGGCTCCAGCACAACAAGAGGAGCAAGAAGCGCAAGCCAGTGAGTCTAAGCCTGAGGAAGAATAGATAGCCTTGGAAAAATGAAATATCTTTAATCTGTCATTGTCCATCCGAAGAAATTCCTCAAGCCTCGACTTCTTGTCTTTGTTCACTTCTACTTGTCTACTGTAACCCACAATCTTGAATTTCTCTCATATCTCCATTTGTATCCGAGATGTCGAATGTGAAATGAAAAAGGATTTGCTATCCAATAAAAGAAAAAATATAAAAGAATTGAAAGATACTTGTATTGGAAAAGTCCGACGCGTGGCGGCCCTGCCCGGAAGAGCGGTGCGCAGCTCCACGTATTGGGCAGCGCGTCATTCGCCTGTTTGAGTAGCTTTGTGTAGTGAACCCCGCCGTTTTCATTCGCCATATTTCCATGGAAATTGCTGCCGGCTGTTGTGGAGGGGTATCATTGTGGCTGTGTGTGTAGTTGGTCGACTGCCTCGTAGTTATCTACCTGTTTAAGAAACAACTAGCCAGAATGCAGCAGGCCGAAAGAATCGAGCAAGTCCTCAAATGTCCAGCTCCAACGAATACATCCAAAATCCGAATTTAATTATTGGCCAGGCTGTCTGGAAAAGCTGCGGGACATGGGTGGCTTGCTTCACGCATGAGTTTTATAAATTTAGCACGGAAAGGTTTGCGTCGCTTTTTTGGCTTTCCAAGCAGATCACCGATAAGTTAATGGAGCACAGCTGGCTGAACAAATGTCTCCCTTCCCTGTGTATGTATGAACAACATTTTTAAAAATTTTCTGAACCGTCAAAGGTGAGTGGTACCGAATAATGCAAAGTCTGGTGGCCTGTTAAAGCGGATGGGCCAGGCCGAGCGCAAGCACCATAAAGAAACAAGAAAAAAAAGCTCGGATCGGAGAAGATTTGGCCACAGGTTTGGTCGCGAGTATGCGGCCGTGTAGATTTCTATAATAAAGCGTCATGTTGCATGGCTTAGTTTTGAAGTCATATTGCATGGCTTAGTTTAGCGGTCATATTGCATGTACATATTGCATAGTCTTACTACATGAATATACACGCTAGATGGCCAGATTACATGACTACGCGTCAATTCATGTCTTCGGATTTAATGATGTTTTTCTTGTGTATATTAGATGGCAGGAATACGTGAATACCTGCTCAAATTACTCGTCCAGGCCATGTTACATGATTATATTTCGCGTAATTTGACATGTCAAAGCTACGTGTCCATATTGTATGGTCCAATTATATGCTCAGACTACATGTAATAGTACATGGTAAAAAACATTGTCAAACACATGGGGTTAGTACATGGTCAAACAATTGGTCGTAATATACTACATGGTCATACTACATGGTCATACTACACGGTCACTACATGGTCATCCAACATGCTCATACTACATAGTCATATTGCATAACTATCTGTACCGTTAGATCACACGAGAAAATCAGACTTTATGGACATGTATCTATTCACGTGTTCAAACCAAATGATCTATGTTGTATCTATATTCCAGGGTAGGATTACATGAGTCCGTGTATTTTACGTCCAGTCCATATCACATGATCATGTTTCGCGTGATTCAACACGTCGATGCTACATGACCATACTTGATGGTCATCCTATATGGCTCATGTCTATATTACATTACTTGTGTTGCATGTTAATATCACATCGTTTTTGGTACATGTCCAAATTACATCACTAGTGGCTGATTTTCATATCAAATGGTCATGAATGTCCATATTACATCACTAGTGGCTGATTTTCATATCAAATGGTCATGAATGTCCATATTACTAGTCCATACTAAATGATCATACCCCCTTGTCGTGGTATATGGTTATAGTATTAAACATGTTCTTAACGCATGGCAAGTTGAATGTCATACTTGATTACATAATATGGTCATACTAAACGTACTAGGACGTCAATGCTTTTTACATGGTCGTATTATATGGGCAAACTAAATGTCATACTACATGTCATACTGCATGTGAATACTACATAGTAAACTTCGTGGTAGGAATTTGTCAATGCATGGCCGAATTACATGGTCTTCGAAGACATATACATACTGAGCGGTCATTTGACCTGTTCATACTACATGATCATAACATTTTCTCACCACGTGGTCAGAAAGGCACGCATAATACACATCATGCTAAATGGGAATATTACATGACCATACTATGGTCTTTCCAGTTATTCACACATCGCCATATCACATATTCATACTACATGCTCACACTACATGGTCATAATACAAGGCCAGTATACGTCAATGAATGACCAAGCTCAATGTCAGATTACATGGTTAGAATAAACGGTCATATTACATGATCATACTACATGGTAATCATATATGGTGTTCTTCCCGGTTGTTCAACCTGGTTATTATGCCTGGTCAGAATACGTCAATTCATGACCAAACCAAAAGTCAGATTTCTTATCAGATTACAAGCCAGTTTTCATATCAGATTACAAGTCAGACTACATGTCAGATTATATATCCATACTATAAGAGCATACTACATGACCATACTGCATGACCATATTACATGGTCATATTATATGACGATATTACCTGATCATATGACATGACGATATTACATGACCATGCTACAACATACTACATGACTATACTACATGACTATATTACATGGTCCTCACAGGCTTATGCATACTGAATGGTCGCCATAATTATATTCATACTAGGTGTTTTCTGTAGGGTCCCTGATTCACGTCCCTAACAGTCTTCATAAAAACATCCATACTCAATGGTCTTCATAAACACATCCATACTAGATGGTCACATTGCATTCTGCATGCTTATAATACACGGTCAGAATACATCAGTACATGACCGTGCTACATGTTCATGATACAAGACCATAATACAAGGCCATACTACATGGCAAAGTACATGGCCAAATAAAGTGGTCTACATGCTCATATTAAATGATCAGAATACGTCAGCACATGGCAATACTACATGTTCAGACTCAATGATCATACTCAATGGTCAGAATACGTCAGCACATGGCAATATTGTATGCCCATAATACAGTACTATACCATACTACATGGCCATCTACATGGTCATGATACATGGTCATAATACATGGCCATAATACATGGTCATCATACATTGCCATAATACATGTTCATAATACATGTTAATGTTACATGGTCATAATACAAGTCCACACTACATTCACACTACATGTCCAACTACATGTCCAACTACATGTCGTACGACACAATCACACTACATGTGCATCCTATGTTCATGCTCAACGATCAAAACACCTCAGCACATGCCCACACTACATATCCTCACTACACGTCTCACTCTATCCACATTACATATCCAACTAAATGCCCACTACATGTCTAACTACATGATCACACTACATGCTCATAATAATGATCAGAATACGTCAGAACATGGCAATACTGCATGCTCATAAGACATGGCCATATTTCATGTTCATAATACATGGTCATAATACATGTTCATAATACATGTTCATAATACATGGTCATAATACAAGTCCACACTACATTCACACTACATGTCCAACTACATGTCCAACTACATGTCGTACGACACAATCACACTACATGTGCATCCCATGTTCATCCTAAATGATCAAAACACCGCAGCACATCCCACACTACATATCCTCACTACATGTCTCACTCAATCCACATTACATATCCAACTAAATGCCCACTACATGTCTAATTACATGATCACACTACATGCTCATATTAAATGATCAGAATACGTCAGAACATGGCAATACTGCATGCTCATAAGACATGGCCATAATACAAGGCCATAATACATGGTCATAATACATGTTCATAATACACGTTCATAATACATGGCCATAATACATGGCCATAATACATGTTCATAATACATGTTCATAATACATGTTCATAATACATGTTCATCTCTAATGTTCATCTCTAATGTTCATCTCTAATGTTCATCTCTAATGTTCATACTTAATGATCAGAATACGTCAGCACATGACATTACTGCATGCCCATAATACATATCCACACTACATATCTATCTAAATGTTCATGATACAAGTCCACACTAAATTGACAGTACATGTCCAACTACATGTCGTACGACACAATCACACTACATGTGCATCCCATGTTCATCCTAAATGATCAAAACACCGCAGCACATCCCACACTACATATCCTCACTACATGTCTCACTCAATCCACACTGATATCCAACTACATGGCCCCACCTCATTTGCCTAAAAACAACCAACCGCCCCACGGCCAACCCCCTTGTCGCTCGCCATCAACCACACCCGCCCACAAGCCACGTGATCACGTCCGTCCCACGTTTTACTCGATCAACCAGACGCCCAGCCCGGCCGGACCTGCACACACCGCGCTTGTGTCTGGCCACCGTCCGCCCAGGTGTGCGGGCGGTGTGCACCATACCAAGCCAAAGGGAAAAAAACCACGGGGCTCTCCAAACCACCCCGACTTTCCTTCAACACCTTGCTACATAAAAATGCCAGAACCGGTCGGGATTGCTAACTTGCCCAACCAGCGATACAAGATTGCCGCCAAGAAGGGCGCCACGTTCACCTTGATGGTGGCGGGCGAGTCCGGGTTGGGGAAAACCACGTTTGTCAATACGCTTTTCCAAACGGCGTTGAAGGAGCACCAGGACCCGGAAACCAGGCACAACAAGTTCACGTCCGCGCACCAGACCGTGGACATTGCGCTTGTGCGCGCCGTTTTGGAGGAAAAGAACTTCCGGATCCGCTTGAACGTGATCGACACGCCCGGATTCGGCAACAACGTCAACAACGCGGACTCGTGGACGCCCATAATCGACTTCATCGACGACCAGCACGACTCGTTTGTCAAGCAGGAGAAACAGCCGCTCCGCGCTGACAAGAAGGACTTGCGTGTGCACGCATGCTTGTACTTCATCCGCCCGACGGGCCACTCGTTGAAGCCGTTGGACATTGAGATCATGAAGCGGCTCTCGACGCGTGTCAACTTGATCCCGGTGATTGCCAAGTCCGACACCTTGGCGCTCAACGAGTTGGAGTTGTTCAAGGCGCGCATAAGAGACGTGATCGAGGCCCAGGACATAAATATCTACACGCCGCCCTTGGACTTGGACGACCCGGCCTCTGCCGAGCACTCGAAGCAGTTGATAGAGGCCATGCCGTTTGCCGTTGTCGGCTCCGACGAGGACGTGGAGCTTTCGCCCGGCAACTTTGTCAAAGGAAGAAAGTACCCCTGGGGGGTGGTGGAGGTCGAGAACGAGAGGCACTGCGACTTCAAGAAGTTGCGTTCTCTCTTGTTGCGGACGAACATGTTGGACTTGATCTTGCTGACCAACGAGATCCACTTCGAGACGTACCGCTCGTTGAAGTTGGGGACCTTGAACAAGGAAAACGGCGCCGCCAACGCCGAGGACGCCGAGGCCATGAAGAAGCCGAGAAGATTGCACAACCCCAAGTTCAAGGAGGAAGAGGAGGCGTTGAAGAAGTTCTTCACGGAGCAAGTGAAGGCGGAAGAACAGAGGTTCAAGCAGTGGGAGACCAACATCGTGAACGAGAGAAACCGCTTGAACCAGGACTTGGAGGAGATGCAGTCGAAGTTGAAGGTGTTGGAGGACCACGTCAAAAAGTTGCAGTTGAGCAAGAAGTAGAGATAGGCTTTATTCTTGTCCGCCAATAAAAACAACAAAGAGGACTGCCCGCGAAGTAGCTCGGGATTGGCTCTAAATAGTGATCTGAAGAAGGGTTGCGGGCACAGCCCACGATGACGAGACCTCGTCGATTGCTAGATGTGAATCAGATTGGCGACATCACCGACCCGATGCCTCTCTTGGTACCATGGGCCATTTTGACGAGTCCTCAAGTGCCCAGTTTGTTTCGGAACGCTTAGATAAGAGAAGTCAAATCCATTAGAGTTACTTTGACACAAGAAAGTCGGTGCTGTGCATTTTCTATGTACCTATAGGGGAATACATGTTTGTTCCGACCGTGAGAGTCTGAAGGGGATAAAAGTATGAGTTTGAATTAACATGAAGCAGTGGTGGATATCGCACACTTATCTACACCACTGTCAACCCGTCAATTTAACTAAATACAGACTTGAAATCAACTTTTGACCGATTTTCAAACCCGAAACCACTGTCTTTGGAAGAAACAAGTATTGGGCGCACACTCGGATGCAGAATTCGTCAAAGTAGACCAATATGCGGTATTTAGAATGGTGCACTCGCAACGCCTGCTAAACTTTGCTGAGCCATATTCCGGCCTTTTGTTCCGAATTCTGACTGCAGGACGTTGAAGAAGTTGATTTGCATCGGCAACCCTTGCCCTGAATTGGGGATTAATGCTTAGACCGGGTCTTGAAAGAACTCGAGACATTGATTATACCCACCTCAGGCTTGTGATTTAAGCAAGCCAGCGGCTGTTTGAGACAGAATTCCTAACTCAGGGGAGGATAAGAACTTTTGGGCAGGCTTATATGTAATGTTCTAGAAAGAGAGCTATGGTATGTACTAGTATTAGTCGCCTTTCGAAGTTAGCTCTCGGCAACATCCACATCATGTATCTAAGATTACATATTTTGAAGATTAAGTTTTGGTTTAGATTGTCTTTTTCATGTCTTGAAAACACTGGTGCTGACTTTGCTATTCGCTCAGGCAATTCTTTTAGAAAGACTCCAGGACAACTCCATTCTTTACGCGAAAGCTATTGCATATTAAGGTTTTTCTCGAGCAGATCCAAGAAATGGCAAGTTGCGTAATGCTGGAACGGCCTAAAGCAAACTTCGGCAAAGCTGGTCAAACAGAAACATCCAAACTCAGAGAAAAGACCAGAAAATGAATTTCTGCGTATCCGAGGCATGAATGGATTATAAGAGTTGTGCAGTTGCCCCTTGCTAATGGCTGCGAAATCTGCAACCATTTGTGTGATGAAGTCGCTTTTGAAGAAAGTAAGAAAAAGCTTCCAGTTAGATACAGCTCATGTTCGCAGCTAGAGGCACGATATTCAGAAACCCCCAAATGTTTGATGTTAGGACTACTCGATATTTCCGAGGCCCCGTAATTTCGCAAAAAATAAGTCAATGCACATAGATGCAAAATCCACGCTCGTTAAGCAATCCCAACAACACGACAATATTGGTCCTATTACCAAGTTACAAATAGATTCAGGGCACCATGAGCCTTTCCAAAAGTATGGAATGAACGTTTTGGCCACCTTGTCTGAAAATACAGCTAGAGACAGCAGATTTACATGGAAATGAGCTCGGCACGACTAGTGAGACTAGTTCTAATTGTGATTCTGCCGCGGCAACATACTTCTTCTTCACCTCAGATAACAAGCTAGCAAATGCTCCAAATCTAAAGAAAAGGTCATGCTTGAGAAACTCGATGATTTCTTCAAAAAATTTCAAGCCCTACATCGGATTTGTTAATGTCTGAAACGCTTGGTCACCCAAGCGCCAGCTTACCGCCGGCATCAGACCATGGCACTGCAATGAAACAAAAGAGGCAGCTTTGAATACCAAAATAGCCCTTATTCCTGGAACTCCGGTCTTTCGTTATTAACTTGAAGCTAATTGGGTCTGTCTGAAACACAGACACAAAAGTATCACGGGTCCTAGTCACAAGACCAGATCACGGGACCAAATCACGGGATCATACACGCACGTGATCAGCAGGCACGTGATCCACGCCCAAAGCATGTGACACACACAGGACGATCACGTGCCATACACGTCGAGCCTAGTCCCCATACGGCGCGCCCAAGACAGATCGGACGCACCCGGATGTCACGTGACCCAGAATATGTTATCGCCAGCGCCACGGTCTGGTCTTCCAAGCCCTATGCTGCTGCACCCCGAGCCCCTGCCGGACGACCACGCTGCAAAGCGCTTTAAACGAACATATGTTGCGTGTCTCAACTGCCGTGTGCGCAAGGTCAAGTGTGACCTCGGCAGTGACTCTTCGCCGCGAGACCGGTGCGTCCGATGCGCTCGGGAACGCCGAGACTGTGTTTTTGTCGACCTGAAAAAACGGCACTTGGCCAAGGTCAGGCCCGCTGGTGGCACTCACTCGGGTCTGCCGCGGGACTCTGCCTCACCGTCACCAGGCTCGGCAGTACCAGCTGTGGCCCCCGACCGTGGGGATGACAACGCACCCAAGCACTTCTCCACCATGGAAGGGGCTCTTGTGTTCTTGGCCAATGCCGCCGGGAAGATTGCCAAGGCAGACGAGCGTGACCACATTGATGCACGCGAGAAGCATAGCCAGCTAGAGGGTCGCCACGGCCACCGCGTGTCTGGTGCAGGAGATGTGGACCTTCATGTGAAGGGCCCCCTAAACAAACCAGTAGATGGTCCCGCAAACTCAAACGGGTCAGCAAATGACGGGTCTTTAGCTGGCCCGGCAGAGCTGATGAGCAGTGTGAGCGGTGCTAGTGGCGCCAGTGGGATGCCTTCGAGCCTCGAGCCGCTGGCGGCCGGGACACCCTCCGGTGATGGTACTCCGCCCTCCTACTTACAGGGACAAGTGCCGCCCTACTTTGCCCGCCACTTCCTGACCACGCAGCGGCTCACTATGCCGCCTGCTGAAAATGTGTACTCGGCGCGCCCGGGGGGCCTGAGTGTGCTCTCGGAAATTGAGTACATCGGAGGGCAGGGTATTTTGACGGCCGAGGAAGCTGAGTACTTGGTGGATATGTTTTTCCTGACCATGCACCCGTTTTTCCCCCACATCCCGCGGTTTTTGCATCTGCCGCGTGCGTTGAGCGGATACCCCATCTTGCTATGCGCCATTCTAACGATTTCGTCGCGTTACCACGCCCTTGGAGGTGCAGATAACGCGGGTGTGGCCCGGAACATCGAGATCCATGACCGCTTGTGGCTCTATGTGCAGCGGTTGATATCGCAGACCGTGTGGGCCGAGGCCAGCACGCGGTCTATCGGCACGGTTTTCGCGTTTCTTCTCTTCACCGAGTGGAACCCGCGTGCCATTCACTGGCGTTGGTCGGATTATGCCAACCGGGCCGATGATGCATCTGATAACAAAGATCCGGACCTCTTGTCCAGCTCTTCCGAGCCCGCGGGGTTGGGCGCCATGAGACGCTCATACCGTATGGCGTGGATGCTCATTGGGTCCGCAGTGCGGCTTGCGCAGGATACGGGCTTTATGGAGCTCAGTGCCAAGACTTACTTAGCTACACACGTGGCAGAAATCAACTCGGTCATGAACATGAAGCGCAGGAGCATGTTAAGCCACTCGTTGGCCGAATTGGACATGGATACTGAGCAGATCTCTGAGGCAGAAATGGAAACTCGTGAAGACAACGAAATCAAAGTTCTTGGCCTCTCAGAAGATATGAATTTCCCTGAAAACACTTTACAATTTACTGAGGCTCAAAAAGCTCAGATTGAATTGCTTCAGATCACATCTGTTGGCCACGAGTCCTTGTACGGCTACAAGGCACAACTAGGTTCCTTGAGTCAGCGTCAGAACTTGTCCATTCTCAATTTTATGAACCCGATGATCAACAGCTGGAGCAGAAAGTATAAAAAGTTCCTAGTGCCTAGCAAGTCCAAGCTCGCACGAAAGGTATCAGCAGAAACTTTGCGTAGTGCAGACTCAAAAGTTGCTCAGGGCATTGCATCAGGCATAGAGAATGAATCCTTCATCTTTGAGTTCAACTACACGAAGTTATACATCTACTCACTTGCTTTGAGCCCTTCGCCCAAGACAAAGGAGGGTACAAAAAATGGTAAGGTTTCGTTGAAGTTGGATGAGATCTCGAAAAGTGCAAAGTATATTGAGCAGGCATTTAACGCCGCACACGAGATTTTGCAGGTGGCACATCGTGTCCACAAGCTCAAGATGCTCAGATTTATGCCTGTACGGTGGGTAACCCGAATTGTCAGGGCGGTAGCATTTATGGTGAAGTGCTACTTAACTATTACTGCGCATAAGACTGCAGAGGTTGCCGCTGATCCCTCGTCTAACATGGATCATTTCGATGCCACAATTCTATCTTTGTCTATAATCTCGGTAGAAGAAATTGTACAAAGCATTCAGAAAGCGGCAATTACTTTGCGAGACTGTTCCCCAGATGAACTCCATCTATGCACGCGATATTCTAATGTTTTGTTGTACTTGTACTCCGAGATGAAATCCACTTTGAAAAATTATTCCGCAGCAGGGGAGGATATGGAGGAATCCGGTGAAAAGGATTCGCAACAACAGCCGATTAACGAGAAAGCCGAACCTGAGGCATTAAATTCCACGTCCGATAAAAGCAATTTCACTGAAGGGTTCAAGGAATTTTCGGACACGGGGTTTCCCGGTGATAGTGAGGTTATTGATTGGTTCATTAATAACAGAAATGTGGGTCTTGATTTTGTGGGACCTTGGACAGAGCTCATCGAGCAACAAATTGAGGGTCAAAACCTCAACATGGACGAGCAATTGAATTTTGAGTAAGGAAGGAATTTCCTGCTCTATTCCAAATGATGGACTTGGCATATGAGGTTGCTGTTGGTAGCAAGGCTATACACTCGGATGAAAGGAAACTGCTGGTTATTGAGAATCAGGGTCTGTGTACTTGTTAGGTGCCTCAGGGGTCTGGCATGGGAAGTCAAACTTGGGACATAAGAATTTTTGTGAGGGTTTATTGAGAGAATATGTTCAACAGCAACAAACTGGTTTAGAGGCATTTGCTTTGCTTTGAGGGTATTGAAGACCGTCGCGAGCGAGCTTACTTCTGGTGGTTGGGTAGCAGACACGGAACGCGTTTTGGAGCGAATTTTTCACCCACTCAGTGAAGGGTAGTGTGAAAGTGATGTTGAAAACACCAATCATACCAACTGCTAAACAGAGGCGTGAATCCGTCCGGATTTCTGTCTACAACTATCATGAAGATAATAAAAAGAGTAAAATCAGAAACAATTCTGATCACGCACTTTTGAATACACGGCATGAGGAGAGGCGAGGAAAGCCAGTCTCGAATCTTTAGGCAACAGAAAAGGTGGTATGTCTGTGATGCTGATTCGTACATTGTGAGGGCCGGAAGGACTCAGAGAAAAACGCCGCATGGTATCCAAAATATGTCTCAATATGGACTTGGCAAAACTAGAACCCCCGACTCGGACTTTCAAAAGCTTTTGGTGTTGTGGATATCTGAGGGTCGAATCTACAGGCAAAGACTGACAAATGCGTCTCTCCTAGTCTACTAGTGTTGGACACATCTGTATTTTGACCTTTCCGTACTTGAACTCATCTGTACTTGTGCCCACCGGTACTTGTTCCATGAATTCTTTTCCCATATTACTCATGTTTTTGGTACGACGTCCAGCCGATATCTGGATGCATTATTTGCAAGCACTTGCAGTGTGCGAAAGCCCAGATAAACGCTTTGCTACCACAGAAGGATTTCCAGAGACCGATTTGACATGCCCCATTTGCTACCTACTTGCGCATAATTGAAAAGGTGCATCTCGTCCGACTTCGAGCTCGCCGACACCGTTTGGTTTCTTCAGGCAACAGTGCTTTTTTGCGGAATCCATCACACGTCTCGTATTTTCTAGAGGGATAGCAGCAGGGGCCTGGACTACCAGCGAAGAAGCAAAGAAAAGACGGGAAATAAGGTGTGGTGCAATGGGTGCAAATTCTCGCTGGTCTGCCCGTCGCGCTAATAAAGACCTCGCACTCGCTCCATGCACTGTACTACTAATAGCCTTATGAAGCTGGCCTGATTTGGTGAAACGCTTATGTCTATAAATCTATAAGGGGTATTTCCAGCACGAAGACTGGGGAAGCAGGCAGCGTCTCGCCGAGACAAGCACAAAAAACGAAAGAAACCAGAAAAGAAACCACGGTAGAAACCAGAGAAGAACCCAGAGAAGAATCCAGAAAACACTCCAGAAGAGTCCAAAAAAGAACCCAGAAAAGAATACAGAAAAGAAACGCCTCCACGGCCGCCTATACTTCGAACACCTCGATCTTAGCGACGGCCAAGTTGGTAGTGGTCACAATACAGTAGGCGGCTCCGTCGGCCACGGCCGCATCGTCAGAAGACACGCCGTTGAAACCCAGCACACTAGGGTCGATTTCACAGCTCAAGCCGTTGCACGCGCTTTCGTCCTCGCACGTGATGCGGAGCCCGAAGCTGGGCAAGTCCGTGAACGTCTCGATGTAAATGGGGTTCCAGCCGATCTTCACGTACGTGTTGTCGTCGCTGTCAGTATTGGCCCCGGCCACATATGGCGCCCAGTTTCCGTACGGGTTGTCGCTGGAGCCCCACACACAGCCTTCGTCCGTGGACACGCCCAACGGGTTGATGTAGTAGTGGGCCGCCGTGGACGCCCAGTAGTCTTCGGAAGGAACAGCCAAAACCTGGAGGTCGCCTGCACCTACGCTGGTGGGGATGAGCATGGCCTCGTTTCCAGGAAGCACGGTCTGGCAAAAGGCAACCATGTCGCTGGCGCTGTTGTCCACGTACACGGTGTTCGTGCCATTGGTGCAAAACGAGCGGTCGAAGGGCTTGGACCACGAGCCGTCAGACTCGCAATACAAGCCTCCATTCTGGGACTCGGAGGTCGTGTACGAGGTGGACTCCGGGTCCCATTGGTTCATGAGTTGGCCGGGCGGACACGCGTAGGGGCAGTACGAGCCGGCACTGCATTCCTGGTCGGGCGAAAGCGCCCAGCCGGCGTTCAGCAGAGTGGGCGTAATTTCAACTAGGCCTTCGTCGGTAGGAAACTCGCACGTGACCGATCTCTTGGAAGGCGCCGCGCATGCAGTGGCCGCGAGAAGCGCGATGGGTGCGAAAAAGCGCATGTTTTCAGTGAGCGACAAATCGGTGGGGAGGGCGTAGAGTCTCGGAAATCGGGGACTCGCTCAGATAAGGAAGGTGGGCGGTTCAGGCGTTGGCGCTGTTCCGGCTGTCTGTTTGTGACGGTGCTGCTGGGGGTCTGAAATGTAGATTCAGAGAGCGACGCGCGTTGCGAACGAAGGTAGGAAGGGAAAGGAAAGAAAAGATGGCTGATCTGAATGGATGGCCCGAAAAGGAAAATCAGATAGGGCCGTGCGGCCGGCTTCTCTTTTATACGCCAGCAGCAGGCGGTTTTGCCCCGGCCGTTCCTCGATATGGTGTTGGCAGTGCTGTCGCTATGGGTTTCTGTGTAGGCACACCTAAGCCTCGTGTAACGAGATGCTAACTACAGGTTTTGGCGCCGGGGCCAAAGGCCTGGCCTGGGGATTTCTTTTTTTGCCTCGCTGATCCGAAGTATGACACTGCAGACACGGAGTCTGGCCCGCCGTTTGGCTAAACGGGGCCATGTTGCGAGGCGTGGAGGCGCCGTGCATGCGCCAGTGCCCGATTGGGCAAAGGCGATGCGCATTTCGGCACAGTCGTCGAAATGACTTCTCCTAATTGGGCTAGATGGCGTGCGCATGCGGCGAGCTGCCGCGCCATATGCACTCGCGCCGTCTTATGACGTGCGTCGATCTGGGGCCGCTTCAAGCAACTCGAGACTAGTCGCTTTAGGCTTTCGCGTGGTGCGGATCTACAAGCGGCGGGACAAAGGGCCAGAAACCGTCTGCAAAGTGTGGGTGGGGCCATACGGAAAGCGTCGTCAGATCTCACCAGCAGCCCCCTCGAGATCCGAAAAAAAGGAGGCGATATGGCCGCTCCGAAACAGCCCCTCTTTTTTCTTTTTTCGCCCGGCTAGATCTGGGTCTCGGCCCGGGCCCGCGAGCCCCAGTTCCCCTTTCTCAGCCTTGGGCTGAAATGCGCGTTTTCAGTGCACTCAGCTCTCGCTTGATTTTCTTGGATTTTTTGCGGAATATTTCTTGGTTCCGAGCGCCGTGTTATTGCCGTGGAGCATTCCGTTTGCTGTATCTGCTCTGGCGGGTCTAGACTTTCGTTCTTGCTGTGGCTCGTATGAGCCCGGGCTCCAATGGATCGCTGAAATCCGCGCGAAAAAGCCATCGCTTGATCTGGCATTGAATTTTTCACTTCCACACAGGAATATCGTGAAACTCCGTCCCGTGGCAAACACACCTCTCCGAGCCTGGGGCCTAGACTTGTTTAGGGGTACGTGTCACATATACGAACCTTTTGAATGCACGATTTGATCGCATCACTTTTTTTATTTTCAGAAATATCGGGCTCTCTATCGTGGCAGTGGGCATCACAGCATTGTTTTGGTCATGTCCCTATACGAAAGTCATCATAGAGACTCATGAGAAATACGCTCAATGTTTTTCCCTGCTTTTTTCTGACCAGAGAGCGCTCGCCAAAAACCTGGAGCCCTGCCGTGTAGGAACACGAGACGTGTGCCGTGGTCACGTGAGCGTTCTAGCCCCCGCCGGCTCCACGGTGCATAATTTAGCCTTGCGCATAATTACATCGATCCTCTCTGGAGGCAGTGTTCAAAGGTGGTGTTTGGTTGCGGTGCTGTGAAAATGTGCGGGTGTATGATTTGTTGCATTTTTTATTCTCTGCAGCTAAATATGACGGAGAGGAGCCTGGATCAAATTGTGTGGTTGGTCAGCTCTATACAACAGGTTGTCCAGTGGCACTTTGAATGGAGAGAGGAGATACAAATCCGCGGCTCAAACTGACATCATTTCAACTTCTGGTCATTTTTTTAAATTGCCATCATTTCAGCTTCTGGTCATTTTTTAAAGTGCCATCAGCAACTTTTGGGCATTCTTTTAAGTGTAGTTATTTTGACTTCTGGTCATTTCTCAAAATGCCACTATTTTTAGTATGGGTCATATTCTCATTTACTTCATCAATTTTTCTCACTCGGACGTTTTTCACTACATCAACCATTTTCACTTCATCAACTCTCGCTTACAACTTTTTTTTCTCCCAACTTTTTCTGCTCGGTTCTCTCTTCTTAAACTAGGTGCACGATAAGAGCACTGGACCATAAATTGAGTTAGCGTAGACCAAGCGTAGCATAAAGGTAGTCATCTTCATCGCCAAGAGGCTTGGAATCCAGTTGGCAAATACAGTAAGATATTGTCGACCGGTTTTCTAGGTGAAAGAAAGCATACATGACCGCATGATTCTTTGATGTTCAACATGAGCGTATAGAGGTTGGTCAGCTGTGTATACGCATGTGTTTTCTTTTGGCCCCTTGCAAACTGAGCTAGACGGGAATCAGCTGTGGGAATAGACCGAACCAAAGACGAAGTGTCTATCGAAAAGACACAAAGACTTCCATACTTTAAAAAGGACCGACTAGGGCACAGACATGGCGCTGTATGACTTTGTTTCCAACCGCCTGATTCTAATTTGAGAGCGGCAGAGGCTTCCTGAATAGCCAATTTACTGGTTTTGACAGTTTAGTTCCGCTGGACAAAATATGCTGTCGGAAGATGTTCGAGAGGTGAAAAACAGAAGCAAGTTCGAATTACACACTCAAATCCCCGTTGCTCGAAATTTTCATATTTTCACCCGACAGAAGCTCGTCAGTTTCATTGAGACGGCGCTTAATCAACAATGGCGTAATTTTTTTTTGTTAACTACGATTTCATTCATATTATCATCCGATATATTATTTGGGCTGATACATTTTGATGCCTTGAGCTGATGTCTGCACCAAAAGCAAAATGTACGCAACACCTAATAACTCGAATTGTGGGTGAATTTAAAAATTGTTCAAAACGTCTATGAAAAGGGCCTCTATTTAGCCAAAGTAATTCCAAATGTCTTCGTACGTACCTTCGCTCATCGAACAAGGTATGCTAAAAAGTAAGAACCTGAGGAGTTATGTCGATGAAGTCAGTACTTTCCGGAGTAGTACCAAATTGGAAACCGTAATCTGAACAAGAGACAGATCAACTACTGTCTCAGGAATCTGCCTATTTTTCCAAACCTTTGTCTGCAAGGTCCCTCAAGCAGTCATAGGCAGAAACAACTTTAAACTTCTATCGTATCAGACGAGGATGGATCTCCGGTGCGACTCAAAACGTCACAGGAGGTGTATTCCCCGTTATCCATTATTCTTGTTCCTTCGTCGCGCCCGCGCGTAAGAATTACATGCAAGAACCGCATCACATGAATCCCATCACAATCGTCCAGAACAAACAAGATTGTTGCGAATCTCCAGCACCCGACTCTCCTAAAGCTCTATACGTAACAATAGATGGATCTCGCGGCACAAGTTGAAAAAAATCTTGTCCATTATAATTTGTGGACTGATGTGCGGGTGTTTCGCAAGGACGACAGATTTGCTGTCCTCCAGGGTCAGCCTCCAAGCAAACTAGCTGAGAATGACGCCATGCAGCCAGAATGGGTGGTTCCGAAGTCCATGAATGACGTCAAATGCTCCATGGCGGAAATTGCAGCGTGGTTTGACTATGTGGCCACCATTTCGGAGCGGCCAAAAAGAGTCACCATGGCGATCGTTCAAGACGACGGTACAGTCGTGTACTATTTCGTCCACGATGGCGTGACAGCTCCGCGGCAAAACTAGTTCTTGGTTGGAAAGTTCTCTCTTGTAGGGATGCACGAATTATTGTCTATCAGGTAAACCCCGACGCGTCCGGCTTAGCGGAAGCAAGTTTCAAGCTCATCATCTAGGCTCCACGACCCATATTCTAGGAATGTGCTTCTAGCGCGGGTGATCACTGCTGAGACGACTTCGCATCACGGACCACAGCGAGTTGCGGCGTGTGGGTGTATGCTCGCGCAGGCCGGAGTCGACTCTAGTCCGACGGCGATCTCTATTACGCGTCGGGACCCGGGAAATCGCACTGTAGCCGACGCTGGACCGGCGGCACACGCTGGCAGCATCATCAGTGTACTCAAATGGATCAAGAAGGCCGGTTGGCCGTACGCTTTGTTCGGTGTCCGTGTCCGAATCGCTGGCACCGAAACGCGAGCCCACGCTAGACGTATCTGTGTATATGTCCGTGTACTTGTCTGTGTAATTCGAAAATCTATGATCCCGCAGTGCTGAGTCGGGGTCCACTCCAGAGTTCGTGCCAGTGGAACGGACGTAGATATTCATGAGCTGTTCCAAACGAGCCAAGAATGCAGTTAAATCAGCATGGCGAATCGGAGCGCGGCCGAATTTGAAGCGCTCGTATGCCGCAACTACAAGTCGGGCAGTGGTGGCCAAGTCGTCGTCGAGATGACCTTCGTCTTCAATTTCCTGGACCATTGCAAGAATGATTTCCCTGAAGGTGTAGTGCCGTGGGATGGTGAAACTGCCTGCGAAAAGACCGTCGGCCTTAATTTTGAGTCCTATGCTGTTAACGACATCCTGAAACACACAGTTCTCAGGAAGCCCCGAGATCTCGTTGGCGAAGCCGAGCCGCACGTTCCGCTGCTGGATGTAGAGCGGCGGCGCCCTGCCAGCATAATCAAAGCGCTCGGTGGGATTGTTCAAGGGGCCTGCACGGACCCGTATGTCGCCTAGACAGCGACGCAAGTTGGCAGTGATGTGCGCCCGGGTGGGTTCGGGCAAGTCATGAGGCTCCAAGGGGAGATACACGGACTTGGCCGGAATCTGGTTGATGAGCACGCGAGTATTGAATAAACGCGAGAAGTAGTACACGAGCGCCAAGAACAAGAAGAGTGCATGGGCACCAATGATAATGAAGAGCTTGAGACCCAGAGACAGCGCACCCTGGGTCTGAATGATGACATCCACGGGTGTCACCACCACAAGCGCGAGCGTGAAAAGCAAGAGAATCGCAAGCGAAAACGAGTAGAGCCACTCAAGCACGCGGCGTGAGAACTTTGCCGCCATGGTCTGGGGAAGGTATCGGTACATTTTACTGTGGCGCTGCCCAGCCTCCATTGCGTCGGAGCCGGAGTCGCTTGAGGCGGCGGGAGCCGGAGGCAGGGGACATTCTGGAACGCTGGGGCGATGCAGGAACACGGCGGGCGGAAGTTCGGCTCGCAAAACGGGCTCAGGGGTGTGTTGGTAAAACTAGAGGTGTTTTCGGGCACTGGCTATGCGGACTGGAACTAGCCCGTGGAACAGAGGCGGATGCGAGCTCTGGTCACGTGCTTCACGTCACGTGCTTCACGTCACGTGCCAACGGGGGCTATGGATGGCGTCCGTTTTGTGGCGTCGGTTTGATGGTTGGCGCCTAAAGTCGGTTCACCAGCGAAATACCTGCGAGTAGACGTGTTGGTTGTTATGGAGTTTGAATTTCAAAGTCTTCAAAATCTCTAGATTTGAATTGAAGAAATGATGTTTGAGTTGCGCTTACATACATTTTGGCAGCAAAAGAGCAGGGACGGCGACAGCGCGTGGTGGATCTAGGCGATACACCTTTTCTGGTTCGGGCACTCCCTGCGGGGTGGTGTGTCACGTGTTGTACTGGTTATTATTCTCCCGGGATCCCGGACAATTGGCAGTTCAGGGGCTAAAATGAATGTTGGAAACAGCCTCTGCTCCTTTATTCAAATGAGCTTAAGTTTGAGGCTGCGCTGTATATGAACCCCTAGTATACTCGTCTATAAATGGAAATATTACATTAGTCATTTTTTCAATTGAGTTTTTAGTTCGAAGGTGCACTGAAAATGAACCCCTAGTATACTCGTTTATAAATGGAAATATCACCTTTCATTATTCATTTTGAGCATTTCGCATATCGTAGATATTTTATCGTAGATATACTGCGTTCTCGAGCAATGACGCATTTTTCTTGGGAACAAATGCCAACCATGAAATTGAGCTGAGTCATATATCGATTTATAATGTACTGCCTGATGCTAAGTAGCAAGCTGATAAAATCAAAGCAAGAACTGTTGTGGCCCGAAAGTGGTGTTCTATGGGTTCAATTATTGAATGACTGTTGATGATAGTTCGCTCGAGGCTGCGCATCTGCTGGTATGGTGGGAACATGCTACAGGAGAATAGAAGCCATTGCTATTCACTGTATATTTTGTGCCGGGTAAACGTGTTTCTCACAAAATTTCGATGACGCTTCTTTGAGTTTCGGCGTGACATTGTCAGAGACACAGATGGAGAAGGTATAAACGGCGGTGCCAGGAAGAAGAAAAGATTTGAAAAGCCACGGCATGCCAAGTTGGTGGACAAGTGTGACATGATAATTGCGGCCAGAGACCACTGCTTCGACCAGAAGACAACCTGGTAGAGATGGAGTAAAAAAGCTTTTATTTCCGATGCATGAGTGTTTGCTAATTAAGCATAGATTTTATGTGGTGTGGAGAGGGAAGTGATCAGAGCGATCAGAGGTGAAGACGTACTCCCGAGATCCGGTGATACAACTGACTTTCTGTTCACTCAGAACAGACGACTCGATTGACCCAATGATGGGGGGACTGCAGATGCCACGCTTTATGCTTGTAAAGAAGACTCCACCAGCAATGAGCTTTGATCCATGTACGGAACTGAGACCTGAGTTGCAAAACCAACAATATAATAAGCACACTGCGAGGTGAATTGGATGCTGGGCATAGCCAGTTAAATTGCCAAAACCACAAGGCCTTTTTCAGTCCAATACAACGATACCATTGTCGCGAGGTGCCACTGATTGTTAAGTTTCCCATTCTGTAATGAGAATAGGTTCAGCAAAACATTTGCCCGCGCAAACACGTGTTCTATTTCACTCCGACAATGGCTGCTTCAATCTCCGGCAAACAAGGTGAATAACTCTTGGACCATACCGTGTCTGAGAGATACGGGCCCTGACACAGAAGTGACCCGGAGACAATGTTTATGGTGTCGCTAGGAGAAGGCCGCACGCAGCAAAGACAAAACGCTCCTGGCCCGGAAGTTTTCGAGCGCCCCCCCCTCCCCTTTTCAGAGACTCTGATACCCAACACCCCGCCACCACCAACACAGACTCGTCCAATAAAAAGCTTACCCCGCCATGCATGCTTAGCCCCGGGAACCAGGTTTCTTTGGGCCTTTTGAGCCGTGCAGCGGAGCACCAGCGGACTTTCTTGGAACTGCGCCCTGGCCGTACTGAGCGCCGCCCTGTTGCATCATGAGCTTCTTGCGCTCCTCGTACTGCATCTTCGACAACGTCTGTGCGTCCGGCTCCTTGCCCACAAGCCCCACGGAGGCCTGGGCCGCCAACCGCTGGCGCGAGAGCTGGGCCTGGCGTGCCTGGAGGCTCTGCTGCGCGGCGGCCGAGTCGCCGGCGGTGGCGGCACGGGCGGCCTGCTGCTCGAGCTTGCTTTGCTGCTGCTGCTGGAGATTGGCCAAGTACAGCGCCGCGAGCTTCGTGACCTGGTCCTTGGAGAGGTTGGGGTTCTTCTGCTGGATCGAGTTGATGATGGCCGACACCTGCGCCGGCGGGAACTGGATGCGGCCGCGCAGGGGCACGTCCGCCCGCTTGGCCAGCAGGCCGCTGGACGCGGAGCTGGTGCCGGAGGACGAGGAGACGTTCCGCGCGAGCGGGTTGGCCGACGCGGGCACGGTGCCCGCGGAAACGGCCGGCTGGCCCTGCTGCTGGATCAAGCGCCTCTGTTTCTGGATCTGCAAGAGCCGCTGGATCTGCTCCACGGTCAACGGCGTGCCATTGGGTGTGGTGGGCCGCTTGAAACTGGGAGCGGGTTGTTTGGACTGCGGCGCCAGGCCGGGCAGTGTGCCGGCAGCACGCTGCTGGGAGCCCGGGCGCCCCGCCTGCGGGCGTTGCAAGCTTGGGCTCAGCACGGCCGAGCCCGGCCCCCGCCGGTCAGTCACGCCGGTCATGTCGGTGGGCCCGCCCACGTTGGGCGAGCGGCCTGCGTGCGGCATCTCCAGCACGTTTTTCTGGGAGCCCACCGCGGCCATCATCTTGGACCGCGTGGCCTGCTGGTGCACGTACGCCTCCTGCAAGGACTTGTCACGGTCAACCTTCAAACGCGAGAGTTCTGCCGGCGTCGGGATCCTGTCTGGCGCCCGCTTGGGCGGGCGGTCCAGACCGAGGCCTGGGGCCGCCGGGTCCGGCAGCGCGGTGGTGGATCTGCGCGAGGACGCCTTGGCCGCGGCGGTCTCGCGCTTGCGCATGGTCTTGCGCATGGCGTCGAACATGGATGCCCAGCGGAGGCGGCGGTGGCCGCGCTGGATGCTCTCGTTGCCAACGCCGAGCGGCGAGATGCGGCGCTTGGTGGTCAGCTGGGCCTTGTGCGCGTGCTCAAGCCACTGCTGCGCCAGGTACGCGTTGATGCCCTTCATGTCGGAGAACTGGAACTTCTCGTTGAGCTGGACGTACCGCTCGAAGCACTGCCAGGGCGTGCGGCGCTCGATGTTGGACTCGCAGCGGCGCAACGTGGCCGCGTGGCTGGGGATGTTCTCGGCGATCAAGTCCCAGTTGAAGCAGTATTCGGCCACGTAGTGGATCAACAACTTGTCGTCCTGCGGGAGCCAGATGGTGGGCGAGCGGAACTCGATGTTCTTGACGAGCGGCGGCTTGGGCGGCCGCAAGAAGTTCAAGCGCCGGTGCAGCTGCACGCCAAAGAGGCCCTTCTGGAACTCGGGGAGGCCCTGCGCGGGCGCGGGCGCCCGAGATGATCTGCGCGAGTCGCGCAACACGATCTTGTGCCACTCGTCGTCGCGCTCCATGGGGCAGAGCATGCGGGACACCGGCACGAGCGAGCTCTCGCCGGTGCGCACGGGCTTGCGGGAGTCGTCGGCGTCGGCGAACGCGGAGAAGCGGGGGAGGCTGCGCACGATGGCCTGGTCGAGCCTGTGCATCTGGTGCACGTCCACGTGCGCCTTGAAGGGGCCTCTGTTTTCGGGGCAGACGCCTGCGCGGCGGAGCTCCTCGGGCAGGCACTGGGGGAGCAGCGGCGGCACGACCTCGCGGGCCGGGTCGGGGCGCTCGAGCAAGCGGCTGACGTCGATGGAGGGGCTGATGAGGGGGCGGGCGTCTGCGGGGGAGCCCGGGGTGGGTTGTGGTAGAGCCAGGGTGTTTTGTGGTGAGCCCAGGGTGTTTTCAGGCAAGTCAAGGGTGTTTTCAGGCAAGTCAAGGGTGTTTTCAGGCAAGTCAAGGGTGTTTTCAGGCAAGTCAAGGGTGTTTTCAGGCAAGTCAAGGGTGTTTTCAGGCAAGTCAAGGGTCTTTTCTGGAAAGCCCAGAATATTCTCTGGCAAACCCAGGATGTTCTCTGGCAAGCCCCGATTCGCTCCCGCACCCTCTCCCACACCCTCTCCCGCACCCTCTCTCGCACCCAGCGCGTCTCCCAACATATACCCGGCACCGGCAGCGGGCGCTCCCCCACGGCCAACATGGCAGATGGCCTTTCTCCGCACACACACCACGCGCCCGTAGGCCCAGAAGTCGCGCACGGCCTGCGCCATGGTCACGCAGCAGAGCTTCTTGTACTTGGCGGCCTCGCGGAAATCCGCGGCCATCCACCGCCCCTCCTGGAGCACGTAGTCCCACGCAAGAAGCCGGCCTTTGCGGTTGCGCCTCGCGTACACGAACGGGTCGTAGTAGCGCACCGGCTGGCGCAACAGCCACTTGCGCAGCCGCTTGAGCTCCTCGATGCGCGAGAACAACACCGCCACCTTGCCCTCCAAAAGCGCCAGCTCGAAGTTCTCCGTCAGAAGCGTCTTGTGCGTGCCGGGCAAGAGCTTGGTGAGCGGCAACGTCTGCGTCAAGTAGTACAACTCGGCCAACGACACCACGCTGTGGTTGGCCGTGGGCACGCTTTCGGGCACGCACACCACGTCCACGTCCGATCTGCGCTTGTGCAAAAACGCGCTGGTCTCGCGCTCCAACGATGCCGCCTGCGCCTGCAAGCTGGCCGGGCCGCTGCGGACAGGCACCACACGGCTGGCGAACGGCGCCGCGCGTGTTTTCGGCGTTTTGCGGGCGTGCTCCGTGACTGCTGCCTCGGCCATGGTTCTCTTTCTGCCGCGCCCGCCGCCGCCGGGCAAACACCGCCGCGCGGCGGCGGCCATGTCGCGCCGGACACGCGCCAATTCCGAGGGGACCGCCGGCGCCGGCGCCGCGAGGCTCCAGTTGTGTACAAACAGCGAGCCGGGCGCTTTTGCCGCCGGCTTGTGGGGGCCCGAATCGGAGCCGCCGGGGAACGGCCGCATGGGATTCGCCCAGAGAAACTCGAGCTCCTGGAGCTTGCGCGTGTACTCCGCGACGATCTGGTCCTTCCGCGCTGTCATTCTGAAACCGGATGGCTGGCGGAGAGGAGTATGGTTTTGGAGGACGCAGGGCGAGTTGACTGTTGAGCGAGAGCGCCGCGCACGTGAGAGTCACGTGGGAGTCACGTGGTAGTCACGTGTGTAGTATGTGGGTCACGTGCGGGTCACGTGTGGGTCACGTGTGGGTAGTAGGTGGGTCACGGGAGGAGTAGTCCTCTTGTCGTCGTGGCCCCGCCAGGAGTCCGGAAGTACGTAGGAGGCTCGTGGGCATTGTGGCCGGGTGCGGTGAGCCGCGGGTATTCCCAGCTTGGCCGGCGAGCATTATGGAGTTCGCATGTGGGCTACTCCTACCATCTCTAGTGTGGGTTGTTTCGGACTTAGTCCTTGGTTCGGGGCATGGAATCTGTCGACCTGTTGTGAAAAAGCCTGATCTATGGACAATAGAAGGACTCTTATCTATAAGTTTAAGATGTCATGAGTTAAACTAATTAATGTACGTTACTATTACATAATCAATGAGGAACTAAAGCCATGAATACCAGAGCTTAAAAGATAACTAATAGATATGATGCTTTAAACTGATTATGAAGTTTTGAACTTGGTAAAATCTTCAAATTAATAGCCTTTATGGTATTAAATTAATATTCAAACAATTCATAATAAGCAATTCAAGTGAATCAATAATAGCAGTTCTTTCAGATATATCATCTATAGTGATGAGTTATAAATTAATTTGATATTATTCAATATCATATATATATACTTATTTTATACTAAATTCTAATAATATATATATATATATATATACTTATTTTATACTAAATTCTAATAATATATATATATATATATATATATATATCAGATAATACGAG